GTAAAAGAATGTGAATTATAGCTGTTCACACCTCTTCATTTTCTATATAATTGTGTTCCTTTCACCAAAATGCATACATATCACCTACCAAGGGTTAAGCCTCTTGAATTACAAAATGAGGCTATGGCCATTGTGATTTAAAAGTGCCTCCGTGTACTTGCTCATTCTGTGACTTTTACCTGAGGTACCATAACCCATGGTTCCCACATGTGTCTCCACTTAGAATAATCTGGGGATCTTGAAAACACTCCCAAGTCAGGTCATGTCCCAGGCCAATTAAATCACATGCCCGGGGCACAGGCATTAACAGTTTTTGAAAGCCCCCAGGTGATTCCAATGTAGGGACAAGTTTGAGAACCACCACCTCAACAAACTTGTTCCGAGGCAAACTTTTGTTCCCCCTTCCCATCATTGACGGGGAGGGCTGATGATACCCTCCCCGAAGGTCCTAGGCCTTCCTACTATTTCTCCCGCACACCTCTACCATACCAAGCATTAAAGGGTATTGTAACTGTTGACATCCGTGCCTGGATGTGTTTAGAATGGTTTCACTGATGGGCACTGTCTCATATTTAGGAAAACATCTCATACCAATAAAAATACAACTATATCTCAACATCAAAAAGAACCATAAAATATAATTTTGCCTACAAAATTACATTCTTTAATAAGCACAGAAAAACATTTCCTGTGATAAATATAAAAAATTACCCATTCTTTCTCAACTCCACTTCTGTCTTGAATGGATTATGTGTTCTTTTTTTCTTTTTTTTTTCTTTTCTCTCTGCCACTGAGTGACAGGTGCCCTTGGCACAGTCCCAGGGCAACAATGCAATCAAGGGTTTTCTTTTAGCACCAACTACCAAATCCTGGCCCCACTGCCTGGGGGAGGACCTGTGAAAGTGCTAGTATGTGTTGTTTTCCAAAGCAATCCTTTCAGAATTTTATGATATTTCAGGGGTTTATAAAACTGATTTTAAGAGTTTTAAAGTACTTAGTTTACTAAGTATTATGTAAGAATCTATGTTTATAAGTGCTCTTCACACTGTACTACAATTGGGTAGTGTCCTTTCTCAGGTCCTCCTCTGCTTCCTTGTCTCCCTCATATGATCATTACAATTCAAAAAATATTCATACAGTAAATTTTGCTACAATCTAATTCTAGACAATAAACCCAATCTTAAACACATGTTTAAAAAAAGCTGTTTAAAAATATTTTGCTCCTTGGGTTGCCTAATTATTTTATATTGCAGCAATGTTTCGCAATCTAACAATATGTTGTTTTTCATTCGCTAGATTTTTATGCACAAAGCCTGAAAAGAAATCAGACTTAGGAACTGTTTTCCAAGGTAGTAATATATTATTCATTTTTCTCATTTATATTTATATATGAAATGCTGGATTATCTCATTAGACATCAAATTAATTTAAGACCTTTCCAACTAGTGTTCACTATGCGTTCATTTTGAACGCATATAACAGATGAAAATGAAAGTTCACTCCTCCACTTTTAAATGCCTACATTGTAATAAACTACCATTAACCAATTTTTAATTTAGTCTTTTAATTAACTACAGCTCATTTTAAAAGCAGTCATTGAAACATAGTTCTTGTCCTTTCCATAATGGAGTCATGACTCTAAATCATATGTGCAATATCCCTAGAGACCACTCTGCTTTATCAGAAATAAGCTCTGAATGTACTGTCAATTGTGAAAAGACAAAAGATCACCGTTCCTCATACTCAGTTCTAATGCCCTGGTTTCCCAAATGTAAAAGCTGTGAATGAGACAACTATTCCAGGTGAGCTTCTGTTCTAATGGACACAAAACTGAATTTCTTTGCCAAGCAAACAAGGCACACAGACTAGCATACTTTAAACCATTGATTTTCAACCTGTGTGCCGCAAGAATTTTTTAAAACATGCAATACCTGACTATTTAGTCAGGGGCACTGACCTCTTTTCCCTTAGATTGTCAAATAAAAAAATGACAACAGCCAACACAACACTGGCCATCGAGTGTGACTGAATCAAAAATTATACTTTTTTTTTGTCACTTCACCAAAAAACACATTTTTTGTTGTGCAGAATTTTCATTTTTAGTTTATGTGTGCCCTGAGATGAAAAGGGTTGAAAATCGCTGCTCTAAACCAGTAACCAACGGCTAGCTTTACATATTTATATTTGGATCAAAAGAGTGGGCCAGTTTTAAAGGTGGCTTCTATGGGCATAAATCTGATTCTAGGTAGCGCCCTTTCTCAGGTCCTCCCTCCTCGTCTCCTCACCCAACTGTCATACCCTGAACAAACACCCCATCGTTCCTTTGGTGAGGGGCCCTGGGGGAGTTACCCCTCCCTCCCCCGGCCAGAGGTCAGCGGCTCCACAGCCCGCCTGAGACGCGGGAGGGCAGAAGCCCAGGAGGCTGGAGCTTCGTGGGTTCGTGGGTCGAGGCCTGGGCGCCGGTAAGAGGCTGGGTCCGTCCCACGGTCTCCACGCCCAGTGGGCGCAGGCTCACGGAGGGCCCAGCTACAGATGGCAAAAAAAATCCTCGATCTCAGTGCCATAAAAACATCTTCCACCGGCCCTCCCATCACCCGTCGCCCTCTCCGGACACCACCTGGAGCGGACAAATGTAATTTTGGAGGGGTCACGGCACTGACGCTACAGCCCGCAGAGGCTGTGTCTCCATCGGACCCGGAGAGGCCGAGCTAGGGGGAGGCTCGGCGTCCCGGGCGGCGCCCCTCCATCCAGAGGGCGACTCTGGGGGGCTCGGCGTCCCCAGTTTGGGTGAGCAGGTGGGCGCGGGAAGCCGGGAGTCACGAAGCCGCCCGCGCGGGGAACGCCTCCTCCCCGAGTGGCCTCCCGCCCGTCGTTCCGAATTAGTAAAACGACGCCGAGGCCAAACAGCCACCCCCGGCCCGCACGACCGAGCTGGGAAGGGAGCGTCCCCGGGAGCGGGGGCGGGAGTCGGACGGGGCCGTGCGCCAGGAGCGGGGGCGCGGACACTGTCCCCGCGCGCCTCTGAGTCCTTCGCGCGAGGAAAGGCCTAGATGGCGGTGGTCCACCCACAGCGACCTCCTGCGGGTCGCCGCCCTCCCCAGACCCCGGAGGGGCGGCTCCTTCGCCCGCTCTCGCCGGGCGCGCGGCACCCCCGCGCGGGACGCT